GTACACCTGTTCGTTCTTGTCAGCATAGCTCTACGGTCAGAATGTGGGAGACTTACCCGTCCGTTCGTAGACGCTCAGAAAGGGTATGCCGGCACTCGCGGCCCAGGCTGCTATCTCACAGACATCGTTTACAAGTCCCTCCAATCCGGCTGTACCCTGACTTCCGTCGTCCTCCTGGTATTCAACTATCACACTGAGGTGCTTGGGCAGCTTCTCGAGGTCCTTGACATCGTGGGCGATGAACTCCGGCGTGCGGTGATGGTACTTGAGCAGCGAGACAACCTTGCCCCTGACAAGTCGGTAGGCGCGACGGAAGCGGAAGAAGATGCTGAATAAGAGGGCGACAACGTGGTAGATTGCGAGGTGGAGGAAGGTCTTGATGGGGCCTGCGAGTGGCTTGCGGTTCTGTTGGGCTGCGCGTTGGCGGCGGTCGCGGAGAGCCTTCTTCTTCTGCGCCTGCGTCTCGCTGTCGGATGGTTCGGAGGGAAGAAAGGGCTTCAGGAGTTCTTCGCGTTGCTGGACGGAGAGTTGCTTGCTTCGTCTAAAAGCGGCCTCTTGCGTGGGAGTCAGGCCTGTGGTAGCCATTACGGGCGGTGTGGAGGGTGTTTAACAACAAAATGAACGGGACAGGCAGCGTCTATGGGAACAGGGTCGAGTAGTTGGAGTATGACAGAAGGAAGAGGAACAATGCGCGCGTTAGCTGGCCATGTCTGGCAGACGTAAGATGATGAAATATCCCGGTGAGGCTGGTGCATACGAAGTACGTGTGGCGCCGTGCCTGCCGAGCACAGCCAAGTGTAGACGCGCATTCCGCCTGCTCCGCCATGCGCTGAGGCGTCATTACGCGGACGCTGTCGCAAGTACTGTGAAGTTGTAGACAAGGAACCCATTGTTTTACATCTTTGTATACGGCCTACCCAGGCTGGGCTGGTGGCATCATAGTGCATGGGGTCACCCGTTGTTCGTTCGGCTGGAGCTGCTGCGAGTGCGGACCTGGTACCGAGGCGTGGGGTGTCCACGGGTGCGACAAGCCACAGTCGCGACTCGGACATGTTCCTAGCTGCATCACCACATGCAAATCACTGCAACAGGAGACATTTACGCCTAATACCATGCGGGAGTGAAAGAGGCGTAACCTTTAGCAAAACCCGGCAATTTCATGCCCCGCGACAGCTCAATCAGCACCTCCAGGGCAACCGGGGGCATTGGCGCGCTGGGCTGCTACGATAGACGTCCGTGATAGTAGACTCGAGTGATACCCAGCACCCAAGGCGCAGTTGCCCACACCTCTGCAACCATGCAGCGCATCAGCTCCGATGGCTCGTCGGTACTTACCCACCAGACGTCGAGGAATTCGATACGCGCGCCGCAGTTCACCCTAGAGAAGTTCACCGTAAGCAGCCGTACAACTTTCGCTTGATTTCCTCTGTTGACTCTCATAGAGCAAAGACTTCCTGGTCAAAGACTTCATCGAGGACCTCTCCCAAATTGCCGTACCTGCGACACGACGCTCCGGAGGCGCTGCCGGCCAGCAGACGTTCGATCCCAAGCCGCTCATTCGCACGTTCGAACACGCCCTCACACGACTCAACAGTCTTTCTGAAGACCTAGAAGAGAAGGAGACTGAGCTATCCACGGCTGTGCGCCGTGCGGAGCTGCAACACAACCAGAATGTCGAATCGCTTGGGAGACGGCTGGAGACGGCCATGGACAAGTTCCAGAGGCTAGATAGCTCGCTGAACGGCAATGATGAGGGGGGGTCAGATACTGGGGGCAACGTGGCCATGCGCATCGGAGAGCGACTCGAAGAGCTCGATCGCCAGCGGAAGCGAGCCCTGGACGCAAAATTCCTGATTGAATGCTGGCAAGAAGTCAGCGAACGGGGCGAACTCATGATCCTCGAGGACCAGCGAAAGAACGGCGATATAGTACGGTGCGCTGAGATTGCACGTCAACTACTGCGCATCAGCACGCGTCTCGACCCAGAGGGCAGCCAGCGAGTCAACGGAGAGGTACAAAACGGCATGAAGAGGAGAACGGTACACCAGTCGAGACACAACACGAAGGAGGTCATCGAGAAGTTCTTGGAGAACCTGGAGCAGGATCTCCTCAGCAAGTTTCAGGAATGCTATGCGCGTCCAAACTACGCTGGCATGCGCGACTGTGCCATTGCGCTCAAGGGCTTCAACGACGGAGCTAGTGTCATTGGAACATACGTCAACCAACACTCTTTCTTCATCGACCGCATGCAACTGAATGGCGAAGATCTAGCGACAGATTTGGAGACTTGGGATCGCCTTCAAGATCCTGATGCGGAACCACCAGGTGTCGAGCCTACACTACAGTCTCTGATCGACGAAGTCAAGATTGTCGTTCAAGATGAGTCCGCCATCATCAAACGAGCATTCCCGTACTACGAGGAGGTGCTCATCAAGTTCCTCGAGCGCATCTTCCAGCAGTCGATACAAAGTCGATTGGAGATGGTGCTCGATAAAGCAGGAGAACTGTCTTCACTAGCATTCCTGCGCTCACTGCAGGCATCTAGGAGCTACATCACGCAGTTGGTGGACGATCTAAAATCACATGGGTTGACAGAGCACCCGGAGCCTGCTACTTCGGCGGTCGCAGCTACCCTTGATCAGCAACTGGAAGAGCTCTTCTCCTCCTACTTTATTGGAGAGAAGTATATTGAGCGGGAGAAGAAGAACCTTGAGGAGCTGTACTCTTCGCTATTGCTCAAGTTCACTATCTATCACTCGCGACGTAGCAAGATGCCAACCTCGTACTTTGGATCGCTAGCCCAGCGAGGCAAGGAGTTGGCTGCATCCGCTCGTGACAAGTACATGGAACGCCTTGAAAGCACCGAGTTGCCCGCCAGTCAAAAAGCAACGCTACTTCGCATTGCTGGCTTGAAAGAAGACCAACAAGAGAAGAAAGACATCGAAGTGACTGATGAAGATGGCAGGCTATCGCTACCGGTCGCTAAGCGTATGCTCAAGTGGCTGGCAGAAGGTGTTGGGCGGGGACTTGAGCTGTCGCCTGGTAATGAGACGCCGAAGGACGTGCAAATACTACTGAACCTACTGCTACGGCAGATGGGCGAGATCTATCTGGAGACGGCACTAGACGCGTAAGTCATACCTGCTTGAGTTGCGCATCCTTACTAACACCAAAACAGTGCACAAGACCATGCCGTTTCTCAAGAGAACTCCAAGACAGCCCCTGATCTCGCCCACTTCCCATCGCTCCACGCCATCACTACGATCCTACATCTTCTCCAACAAACCACTACAACCATCGTCCTCCCCCTTTGCACACCCAATCTCACTATCCGTCGCGACATCGAGAAGTCTGCGAACAGCACAACGTCGACCCTTGAATCTAAACTATCCAACATCCTCAATCTCACACTCACAGCATCTCTCAACTGGGTGAGCAGATGTCTGTCTCAACAAAAGAAGACCGACTTCCGACCCAAAGAAGACGATCTGATGGTAACAACCGAAACACAAGCTTGTCGCGACGTCTCCGCGTTCCTAACCCGCGTCGCCTCTCAAGCCTCCGCCGCCCTCTCCGGCCGCAACCTCTCCCTTTTCCTCGCCGAACTCGCTCGCGGTCTGCGATCTCTTGTTCTATCCCATCTCCTCAAGTTCACCATCTCACAAGTCGGCGGTCTTAGTGTGTCCAAGGACATGAACCGCTATGTTGAGCTTGTGAGAGCATGGCCTACGGGCGATGAGCTGGAACCTGGTGCTATGGATGTATTGACGGATGTCAGTACGTTGTTCATTATTGGACCGGAGGCGTTGAGGGATAGGCTCAGAGCTGCGGGTGGACAGGATGCGCAGGAGCTGAAGGGCTTCATTGCTAGGAGGGATGATGTTGGAACTGTTGGGGTGCAGAGTGTGCTTAGTGGTTTGTAAAGATATAACGGTCGCATAAGGTTTGTGGAGCTATGAATCTATTACCAACACATTGAAACTGTCCACCAACTACACAGCGAACGTCATTCTGAGCATGCGCCACGAACTTTTCTGGCCATTAACCAATCATATTGACGCCAGTATCCGGACGCCACGCACAGCCAAGCAACGAGACTCATGCAGGGTCCGGATATCGCGGGTCTGAATGCTAATAATCGACCTGATAACTCAGGCCTAGAGGCCTAGATGTTTTGAGAGTGTGGTTCGGCGCATGTCATTAGTACATAGCGGGGAGGAAGTGACGTCGAAGGTAAGGTGCCTTACTAGACAACATATGATACATATGAGGAAACATTGCCCCATAAACTTAGCTATCACGAGATCATCATCAACAATCACCTCCTAACGAACATTCCTTCTACATCTGGACGCATCTGCCTAAACACTCTCAACAAGTCCTCCCAACCGCAACCATTTGTATCACAAGCGCCCTCGTGGCGTTGCTCGCCTGCTTTAGCGGCAAATCATCATCGCACTCACGTTCACGCCCACAATCGCACTCATCGAAATCAAGATCGAAGTCCCAACCGAGACGAAGTTCAAGCAAGCGCTCTACGCGTTCGGGGCATCCGCATAGGAGTTCGAGAGATCAGTCGCATCGTTCGCACGCTCCGAGACGGGTTTATTAGGTGGTCGGCATTTCTGGGCTTGGGGTACGGGCTGTGTTGTTTGGGCGATGGGACGGAGTGACGGGTATGGTGTGTGGGAATCATGCCGGGCGTTTCTGTGCAATTGAGCTTGTTGGCGTCATGAAGGCCATCTTCAGCAGCGTTGGAAGCGTTCCGCTCAATCGCTCTCTGGCACTCATGTATTATTTGTGATGAAACTTTTGGCCTAATATTGACAGCCCTGCATGTCTAGTTCATACTCACCGTCAAATCCAGTCACTTTTCATCTTTCATCCTTCATCGCTCATCGCTCATCGCTCACCACACGCTAGCGTGGTGCTTCGTGCCCCAGCCAAATACAATCTGCCTGGCTCTTGACCTCCAAAACCACTACGCTCCACTCCACATCATGGCGCCACCCGAGATCAAGAAGATGGCTCTGAAGACCACCGCACCCGTCAAGACCAGCCGCGTCGTGAAGACCAAGAGGATGTACCGTATCAAAATCAAGATCGGCAAGCAAGCGGCCAGGTAAGTAATGATTTGATTTTGTGCTGTTTATGCCGCGCTGACCAGATGACTCTTAGGACTCTCCAAAATCGCGACTCGCCACTCCTGCGTCTGCCAGCGGAGATTCGCAATCAAATATACGGCTACGTTATCGGGGGTCATGAGGCCTGTCCGACCTGGGATAGCGGAGCCTGTATTGACGTCGAAATCCGAGCTTCACGATACAACACAAGCGGTGGCACACGGAAATGCTGGGCTGAACTGTTCAACCTCACTTATGTGTGCAAGCAGCTCAACATGGAGACGAAGAGCCTTCCATATGAACTCACCGTATTCCAGGCAGACATAGGTGCCGCCTTTGAGAGGTTCATGTGTCAGCTCAAGGAGGAGAAGAAGCAACTAATGACCACCGTTTCCTTCGGCTTCAAGCACTTTCACAGCGCTAGCGACTGGACCGACGCGCAGTCCCTTACCCCGGCTGAGCTGTTCCGCTGCACCTCGTTGAACACCGTTATCTCTCGCGTCACCCTCGGTCAAGCTCAGAAGTTCACAGTGAAGCTATTCGCTCGACACATGGGAGCGCGTATCATTCCCGAGAACGAACATCTCGGATACATCGAAGACCAGGATCTGTGTGAAGAAGAACAAGACGTCTTTGCAGAAGATGGAGAGTAAAGGCCTCTGGTAAGCGTATGAATACCTGCACCTCGGTTTGTTCGTGCTAATAAATTCTAGACATCTCTTCTTGAGGTGCGTTCTTCCCGTTCAGCTCAAGTACGCTTCCCAGAATTTGTCAGTCATCTGTACCATCATGTCGATGACTTTACTTCTTCGATACCTTCATTTCGCGAACATCGTCAGCGTTCTCGATCACCCATCGCGTGCGGCATTTTCTACTTTGTTACGCACAGTGGTAACAGAAGTTTTGAGCGCTTTCCTAGGCACCTATGTGGAAATGGAAACTATGCTTCGAACTTGAACATTCTGTAGAGATCCGTTGAATCGTTGTCTGTACCCATAGCTACGTATGATGGAAGACTCTAAGGAGTAGGTGGTTTCGTAGCACATAGGGCACAAAAGGCATCGACTTGATCTCAAGATGGTTGATTTATGTACTGCTTCATCGTGTGATCTTCCCATCTTCCACACTATCTGCCAACTCATCCTCTACCCGAATGGCTCAATGGAAGCTATCCGCAATGTCATAATTACGAGACAATTTATCCCTAACCCTTCGAAAGCCTTGAAGTGGCCCTTTGCTTTGCACTGACTTCGCTTTAAGCCACTTCTGCAGTATCACCATCAGCCTCTCTTTATAGACTGCCTCAAGTCGATCAAACGTCTGCCATTTATGCTCCCGCAGTAATTCCAGGTAAAGCAAGTCCGACCTACATCGCACGTTAGTAAGAATACGTTACTAGACTCTTTCTGTAAATCATAAACCACTCACCAGTATATCCCAACCTCTACATTCTTCCCCTGTATAGCGCTGCCCATCTCCTCGAAGCACTCTCGCAGAGGTATATTCGTTTCGATACCACTCCATTCCCACTCTTTCATAACTCTCATCTCCTCGGCCGTTGGTAACGTTTTTGAGAAGATCAAATGATCGCGTGGTAGACACTCTAGCACATGCAAGCCCAGGTCAAGATGGGTAAGCACCGGGAATTTCGCCAGAAGATTCGACGCAAACCATAATCTCGACTGCTCCACCAGACCGTTTCTATCGTCGAATAAACGGATAGAGTACAGAGGCAGCGAAAGCTTCCGTATAAGACAAAGATTATGTGCCCCAATCTTCAGCCAAAAGGTCGTGAGAAGACTCTGATAGCCGTATTTCCCGTGTGCAGGTATGAGATTGAAGCAGTAGAAGCCGAAGAAGTAAGTGCGCACCTCTTGGGAGATTTGGCGGCTTGTCAACATGAGACTCCAGAGGATGGGCCGCGCGGATGATTCGAGGGCTTGAAAGGTGCGGCGGTAGCAAAGGCGGACACCGACCGAGAGTGAATCGGGGTCGCGTTTGTTGAAGAGGTATCGATAGATTTGCTGTCGAACTTCTAGGGGAAGCTTTTCGAAAGAAGATTGTGCGGGCTGAGCTGGAGGGGATGAGACAGTAGGGTTTAGTTTTATTGCAGATAGAGAAGACGTGATGCCGTCTAGTGTTGCGGATGGGGAAGACATGACTGAGAGATGTTGCCCGATGGCGCCGCAGTATCTTGAAGATGAATACGGAGCGAGTTGAGGAATCAAGAAGGTAGAACTATGGTGGAATGCGTGCATTGTTGATGAGAGACTGCACCCGGGTAGATAAGTAGGCTAGGGGACTGTGCAAAGTCCAAACTGCATCACTCCGTGGCCCACCTGGGTAGATTCGCCGCATGTACTCGCAGAGAAATGGCACACCCATTCACTCGACCTGTCAGCGCTTCATAGCAAATGTTCTAGCTCATTATTCTCTTCACCCGCTTGATAAGTCGCTACAATCTTGCTGGCTTATCGAAAGCAAACAGCGACCTCCCCTTCTTCTCACCATCTTGCCAAACCCATCCGCTTTTACCCACAATCTCGACCGCACCACTAGCCATCTGTCGCAATGTACTTTCATCTCCATGGTTCGAGAGGAAACGTTTGTTGCTGCTCTTTAAGCGGCCAATAATGTGACCTCGAAGCGGGCTGCCGTCTCGGTTGAACTCTACGGTGTAAGTTTCGACAACAGCCTCGCCCTCTGGGTCGAAAACGAGCTCGGGCGCGGGCACATCAGTAATTTGCGGCGGTAGAGGGTTCTCTGTCGGATAGTTTCCTTCTCTTCTAGGCTCTTTCGACAATATCACGACGTACTGATAGCTCAGAACGCCGCCATTGCAGAGCACCAGTCCTTTCTGGCCTTTGCCGTCTCTCAGCTGTCGCGTCATCTCAGTGAGCGCATGCATCGAGTAGTTATTACCAGCTCCGCCAAACGATGTCAGACCACCAAGTATCGTCAATGGCTTTTGACGACCAACCACAGGTATTCCTAGATGCTGCGCCGCAATCTTAGGCACGATAGGGAAGCAGGAGTATATATCAACTATATCCATCTCTTCTTTGGTCGTACCAGATGTCTTCAAACTCGCATCGATAGAGCGCGATATACTGGGCGAAGAGTAGAAGTTCGGTCGTTTCCAGAACTCATCGTCGTCCTTCGTTCCCGCGCCGCCAAGCGGATAAACCCATTTCGACTCGGGAACACCTAACCTTTTGGCGAAGGAAGTCGATGTAAGGATGACTGCAGAGGCAAGATTAACCGTGTTGAAGGCGTTCATAAGCAGGGGATCTGCGCGTGTGATGTAAGCGTCCGTTCCTAATGCGGAAAAAGGTGAGACCCACAAGGATAGCATATCATCCTGTTCTTCTTCCCAATAGTCTTGATATCTTCCTCGCTACTCGAAGTTCCTTGATTCCATGCGTACTCATTATTCTTTGCGACGTCTGCAAATTCAGCATACAGTTTTGCGCTCTCTTCGTGGTTTGCTTTTAGCGTCTGCCCGCGATGCGCACGAAATGCATTTTCGTAAAGCGGATAGACGTGTATTGGCGCACCAATCTTGTGAATAGCGCCGAGGTCTTTGCGAGAGTCAGTAGAGGAAAGGGTTTGCCAGAGAGAAGAAACCGCACTATTTCCTAGGTCGCGACCTGTTGGTGTGAAGACCGAATCTACGGATTCGGACGGAGCTGTCCAGCCTGGGGGAGGAAGCTTCTTTGCAGCTGCGCATGCGGATACTGGTACTATTAGTGATGATTGGAGGCGGCAGGAAGGTAAGTGGCACGTACACGAAGCTAATGCTTCACCTCCAGTTACAATCGCGACTTTGCATTCGCCTTTTGCAATCCTCTTAGCGGCCTCGTCGAAGAGCTTTCCTGGTTTATCGCCTCCATGTTCGGAATATCTCTTCCATTTCAGACTCTGATCAACGCCCAGCTTCTCTGCCAAAAGCCCGGGTAGATCTGGATACGGCCAAGTCCACGTCTTGACGACATCGATGCTGTCGATTGCTGACTGCAGGTCAGTCCTCGAAAGAGATGCGGTGTCGCTGATGGCTTTCTGGATGGCTTCTAGCATCAATGTCGCGGGCTCCTTCGCATCCGCGATGGCGGTGGAGCGGTTCTTGATGTCGCCTACGCCGATGATCACGGGGGTATTGGTGGACGTCATGTCGTGTTATGGGATTCACTGCAAGACGGCGCCGTTTGACCCCTTGGTCGCGAGATGCAGTTTTATCTATGTCACGTACTCTGTGATTGACCATGGCTACCATTGCATGTCGGCGAGTCATGGTTGACGTGAGGAGTCGGATTTGCCGAGGTACAAACGACGCGAACCACTGCGGCACGCGCTGCTCATGTCCTCGACGCGTCAGTTCCGGTCATCGTGATCGATGCATGATCTGCAACAGTCCTCCAGTCTCTCCATGCGGCGTATAACAATACGACAAAAGCCTGTCCCTCCGGATTGATGCCGTTGAGCGGGGTCCGCTGACCCTCCTTCAGTGAGTTAACTACAGGTGCCGCAACACCAGTTTCCTCATCTAGATGGTGACTGACAGACTCCAACTTACGCGTCGCCCATCCTACATACCGTTCCCCGAACGTGCCAGGCTCGAGGACCGCCAATCTGAAGAGCGTAGCTGCCATTAACGCTGTCCCAGCAACCTCCGCAAACCATGTGTCGTCATCGAGATAGTTGCGCAACAGGCCGGATGCATCTGTATCGGCTTCTATCGCGCCGTCAATAATGCCTTTGATCATATCCAGTAGCATGTTCTGCTTATCAGCGGTTTCCGATTCATACTGAGATTTGCGCAATGTTGCTAGGACCCTAGTCATCCCAGCTGCAGCCCAGGCATTGCTCGTACACCACGCGCCGTCATCGCTCTTTACGCTATGCGTGCCCTCGGCATTGGCGATGTGTCGCCAATACCCTTTCGACGTGCCCAGCACCTCGCAGTATAGCTGGCACTGCCGTACACTCTCTTTCACCATGCCTATGTCTGAGGTGAAGACACCGTGGTATGCAAGAGCAGGCGGCACCATGTAGATGAAGTCTGCCCACAAGGAAGGGTACGCATCGCGATGCGATATCGCGCCATTGCTGTATCTGGGCGTGGTGGAGAGCAGGTCGTGCAGCTGGCGATTTACAGCGGAGAGGTAAGGATTGTCAGGCGCTTGGGAGGTTGTTGATTTGTAGAGCAACAAGGCCGGAATGCAGAGAGATGTCGGATCGGACGACGAACCTAGTTACTGCCTTTAGCATGCGTTGGACGAGATCTGAGAGAAGAGAGCTTACCGTTACCTTCACACAGTCTCGCGCTATTTGTCTGTATGAATGGTTTCACATATCGCAACGCTTCTATATCCTCTACCGTCAAGTTTGGTATCTCGCCCCCGGGAAATGGGTCATGAAAGATGCTGTAATGAGGATCTCTGTACTCGAGTAGCGCTTCAAATACGGTGCCGTACTCCCAGCTATGTGAGGCAGTTTCCTGCGCTTTGGAGAGAACTTTGTCGATCACAACCTGCGGAATCATATCGCAAACTTTCCGGTCGACACTTTATGTTGATCCTCAAAGTCGATGGGGATTGTAGATTCGAAGCGCGTGCGTAGACACGTCTGCGGTATGACGTTCGCGACGCGCGCATGTGGTGTCATCTCCGCGCCTTCGCTTCCTGCCGCGGGCAGGTGCAGAAAGCTTGGTGAGGGGTTATTGTTCCTTCCAAGGACCCTCGAAGCTTGACCCAACCAACTCGACAGGCCCACGAGAGCCACTCAACTTACGTTCTGAGATATGATCGACTGTAGAGGATATTGGGCTGTTGTAAGCTTACATGACCAAGCATAGAACTCGCCCCTGCGCGATGTCATGGGTCATGTGTGATCAAAAAGAGAGATGAGTGTGCTCCAAGAGTACATGTCGTGTGTTGCTACCTGTCTTCAAAAGGGCATGCGGGTGGACTGAATGGTATCAGGAGACCCACATGTTGGTGTGCGCAGGATTGCAGGACCAGCCGTGTCGACTGGGGCGGACGCCCGCGCAGTGTTACCGCACTGATATTTACCGAAGCTGACAGCCAGCTTTTTCTTGAAGGTCGGCAAGTAAGTAAGTACTAGGATGAGATGCGAAAGGGTTCCTTCACTCAGAAATCCGAGCACATGCTAAAGCTGCTAGATTGATGTCTGGTATGACAGTGGGTCGCGCCATCATGGCCCTACGGATGATGTACCCACAAGAGACCCGCAGTGAGCATCCTCGAAGCGACGTCCAAGCTTCTGAGATCCTGCCTGGGTGAAAGTGTTACGTTTGAAAACCTCAATGGTACGAGTGCTGAAGATAACAGTAGCACATGATGATAACAAGGGAGGCCTAATAGTATTGCGGTTGAATGTCAAGATTTTCGAAGCGAAGAGGTACCAACATGTCGAGCTACTGCGTCTATTCCTATACGGCGCATAAAGTCTTGGTTGGTTTCATCGGAGACTTGTCCGGTGGGACCGAATAACAGCGCCGCCGGATGAAGCACGAACCGCTATCCCCGCGATCTCCAGGTTTTGCAGTTGACTGTCAGCCCTGGAGTCAGTGCACTCTCCATGCGCCCCATGATCAGCTCCATCTCTACCCAGACCCAGCTCGCAAACCAGCGGCGGGTACCTCGAGCGCTAAGGCTTCTAAGCATATCTCCAAAAGCTTGTCCGGGCTCTGGACACGCCCAGTTTGAGCCTCATGCACACAATATGCACGGTTTACGTCGGCTCAGTTCTTATCACCTCACTCCGCACGTAGGGCGCGTCCTAAAAACCCAAGAGATGAACAGTGCCCGTGGCGCAAGGAAGTAAAACCGAAGGAATGCGCGCCGCTCAGAGGGGACGTCATCATACGAGTAAAGTAACGGGCTGCAACCATCACAGCGCTCGAGGTATTTTTCCCCGCATTTCCTACCGGTAGTTTGCACTAGCCAACGATAATTGGTTCCCAGAACCCGTTCTGACAAGGGTCTGGGCTACTATCGTCCCATACGTTCGATAAGGACTTGGCCACCGAAGCCGTACCATGTTTGGGTAGGTCCGAACCGCGAACGTGGAATAATCCTCCTCTCGCGCCGGCCCATACACCACATTTGTTACAAAATCTGCTATCAAGGCCGGCGCATTCTTCAGCCGCCTCTGACATCCCATCTATATAACCACTAGGCATCCCTCTAGGGCGAAAGCAAGATTGGTACCGCCGACCAAGCCCTCCTTCTGTCTCGTGTTAACCATGCCGAACCACCACATGGCCGACGAGAAGCCTGAGGCTGTGCCGTATGGCTACGATGAGAGCCAAGTCGGTTTCGAGGAGCCGTTTGTTCACGGCGCCGCTACTGTTGGTGGTGAGACTGGACGAGGAGGAGACACACATCGTGGACTGAAGAGTCGACACATCCAGTTTCTGTAAGTCTGCGTTCTCTTGTGTCGCTGAACCAATCGCTAACAACTTGCCAGTGCGCTCGGTGGTGCTATCGGAACAGGTCTTTTCATCGGATCTGGATCTATCCTTGCTTTGGTCGGCCCTGCTCCCTTATTCATGGCCTACCTCAGTATGATGCTTGTTGTTTACAACGTCATGAACAACTTGGCTGAAATCGTCACTTACCTTCCCATGCGCGGTATTACCATCCCTTACTTCATCAAGCGATTCGTAGACCCGAGCCTCGCGTTCGCCGCTGGTTGGAATTACTGGTACGCCTACGCGATTTTAGTGGCCGCTGAAGCTACAGCTGGAGCAATTCTTGTCGAGTACTGGGAGACGCCTGTCCACAATGCTGTCTGGATCACTATCTTCCTGGTCGTGGTCTTGTTCCTCAACATCGTCGCAGTCGAAGTTTTCGGAGAAGCCGAGTTCTGGTTCGCTTCTATCAAGTTCATCACCATCATTGGTCTTGTTATCCTCGGCTTTGTCATCATGCTAGGTGGCAGCCCAAACGACCAAGGCCGGCTCGGGTTCAGGTACTGGAACAATCCCGGAGCTTTCAAACCGTACATCGTGGAAGGGAACTCCGGGCGTTTCTTGGCTTACTGGACTGCCTTCGTCCGGGCTGGATTCGCCTTCATCACTTCGCCTGAGTTGATCGCGCTCGCTGCTGGAGAGACTATTGCCCCACGCCGGAATATTCCCAAGGCTGCTGGCCGATTCGTTTACCGTCTCGCCATCTTTTATGGTCTGGGAAGCTTTATCATCGGTGTCATTGTCCCATCAGACGACGATCGCCTCCTCAGCAAGAGCTCCAACGCTTCCGCCTCTCCGTTCGTCATTGGTATCCAGCGTGCGGGAATCGTAGGTCTGAACCACGTCGTTAATGCGGCCGTCTTGACATCAGCATGGTCTGCCGGAAATGCTTTCTTATTCTCTGGATCGCGTGTCTTGTATGGTATGGCTCTCAACGGAGAAGCGCCTAAGATCTTCGGCAGAACCAGCAAGAAAGGTGTACCATATGTAGCTGTTCTCGCTACATGGGCCATTGGACTCCTCGCGTACCTGAATGTCTCCAGCACTGGCGCCCAGGTCTTCTTGTGGTTCTCCAACATCTCCACCATTTCTGGATTCATTGCCTGGATCGTTGTCATGATCACATACATCCGCTTCCGCAAGGCGATGATATTCCACAACTTGCTCGAATCTCTGCCCTACCGCACACCGTTCCAGCCATATCTTACGTACTTTGTTCTCGGCGTAGTGTCGCTCCTGACTCTGACCAACGGTTTCCAGGTCTTCGTGCCTGCCAACTGGGCCGTTTCCGACTTCCTTGCCGCCTATATTACCATCCCGATCTTCATCGTACTTTACGCCGGCCACAAGATCTACTTTAGGACGCCATTTGCGATCAAGGTAGAGCACATTGATGTTATAACGGGTGTGCGAGAGATGAACGAGCTGTGCAAGGACGATATCACCGGTGCACCTGTGCCGAAGAACGTTATGCAGAAGATTTGGTACTGGATTGCTTAGAGTGACACTATATAACGGTTGCGGTAATTACTTTTACTATCTAGCATGCTCTTTCTATATGTTATTAGCTGTGTATAATGCGCTCAAAAGCATACTGAACTATAGTTGCTTGATAGTGAAGACCCCCCGCCTTCCATCCTACTCTTACTGGTTAGTCAAGACATGCGGCTGAACCATTTGATCAGCCTTACCGTGCGTCTAGAGTTGTGTACGCCTAGCATCAGGGTAAAAAAGCTCATGCATCAAAACTGTACCTAGCCACTGAGATCCCATCCAATGATCATCTGGCACATGACGGCATCGGAGTGCGGAGCAAGGCTATGGGATCGAAGTCACCTGAGCAGCATCCAATAATGAACAGCAATAATGACAACATCATAGTCGAAGCGGTGAGAACGCAGGCTATATACACACGTTGCCCTACGTCTTTCATGCAGTCCAAATCATGGCGCGCGCGTCGATCAGTCTCACCGGTTTCTGTGCTACATGCAGGTGCTTTCGATTCCGAACTAGCGTCGCCTTGCCACGCTTCGTACACACTGATAGCCTGATGTACCCCATGCATGTTGCTCGGTTAGCTAATGCGGCTCTGCTGTTGACCCGGGTTGGCCCCAGGAGAGGGAGAGCCCGACCCAACGGTCTAGGAATAACGGTAGAATGCTCGCCATCTATCTTCTCTTGTCTAGCTCGAAGATATCGTGAACGACAAGATGGAAGAGCGCTCGCATTTTGCATGCAATGGGCTTTTCTCTCTGGGATCGCTTGTTGATTGGTGCTTGAATGGTCCGTTCCCTGGTAAGTCCCAGGAGCTGGCATTCGAGTGAACACGCTATGATGCGTGATCTGCGGCTTACTCGAATCCGGATATCATGCCGATCAACTCTTTTTTTGACGTTGGATATGCGGCCAAGTCAGTAGCGCCAGATATTTCGCCAACATTGACGTGCTGAAGAAGCAGACATCGAACCTGTTTCCCGGGAACTTATGCTGGCCGGCATCGCCGGTGGTGGCGTGCAGGACACTGCGCTGCGCCCGCAAGATCAAAACCGGAAAGAACTGACGCTCGGGAAAGGTAACGATGATTGACCTCGGTGGTTTTGAGGTTGACAACGTATTTGAACTGTTGCCTTTGCCTACGCCTATAGTGATGAGTGATGCACACAGGTTGTGGTGATTTGTTCACCTCGGGTACGATGCTCTTGTGCCAATCTAAGCGTGGGGGTCGAAGGATGTGAGCCAGGGATGCGCCGCGGGCCCTCAACGGATTGAACGACTCAGCCCTCGATCTGCTGGAGAAGCGCGCAGAGGAATATCAGGTCATTGCCTTCATACTGCTGTCTACCACTGGAATATGCGGAGATCCACCTTCTTTATCTTTTGATATGCTCGACCGCCGGGCTTATTTAGTGGAGGAATCGGACGGCGGTTGAAGTTCTTTCCGGCAATGTCGCGATGATGACTTTCTGATCCCTAAGCCCCTGCCTTCACCGCCAGTCGCAGACTCAACGGGCGTCCGACCAGCGTACTCAACCCTGATCCGAAATCCTGAAGCTGATGGCGTGGCATCCGGTGAAAGGACCATTATGTTGTGTACATGTTTGATTTGGTGACAACAACCGTTACGACGCACGTAGGCTCGAGACGAAGTCCGTAACGGATGCCCGCTTGTTGGTTGGAGTGACGATAACATATTGGCCCTTCTTTGCGTTGCTAGAAGGCAGTAGCGACGGCGTATGCTATGTGGCGGAAAGCAGAGCGGACAGGGTATATAGAGATCGATTTCCTAAGTCGTGGGTCCCCGCAGTGCGATCAATTTACGGTTCGAACCGACCAGCCTGCTGCCTACTCTTTCTTATCTTTCCTCGATCTGAGATAGCGTCGAACAAGATCAAAACTGCCGAATCGATCTTGCTGCATCGGGAACCTTACTGAACTCCGGCTATCATGCAAGGCCCTCCGCGCCGCTACTCCGTCCTGTACGACGAGATTGTAGAGAACCCAGAGCTTGCGAAGTTCCGGAGAAACATGGACTTATGGACTTGGATGCTGTACAACGAAACGGGGGAAATCGATAAACTACGCCGGGAATGTGATGAACTCATCGAGACCATTGGCGCGAAGGATTCTCGCTGGACCGTCCGCACACTCCTGGATTATCACCAGGCCTACCACTTGTACGACCATCCAGTTTTGAGGTCCAAAATTGAAGTTTTGAAGATCTCGGTCCGACAATACAGTAGGTTTGGTTGATTCTGTGTGCCAAGGATCGTGCTGACGGTGGCGATGTAGGCGAAGATCTCTGTCTCGCAACCCGTGTTGCTAACTTACCTCACCAGTCTGACGTCTATGCTCGACATTTCGCTGCTCGAAAGACTTTGTTCGAGGAAGGTCTGTTTGGACCAACCAAGGAGGAGGCGGCCATGTACACCCAGGTTCCGTCGCATGCCGATACCTGTTCTTTCAAGGACGGCGAACTAGATGAGCAGGACATGTTGACTGCTTTCGTTATTCGGCACCTCGAATCAGTCAATACGTACGTGACGCAGTTGATCACTCGCATCCTGAGACAACGAACTCTTGAGGAAGGCGTTGCACCTCGGCAATACCTTGAGCTTAACAAGATACAAATGGTCGCCAACATACTTACCGGAATATATGTACCAGTATTCCTAGCAATATGCTTGGGCATTCTGAGCTGCATCGAATCTGAGAAAAACCGTATTGTTGTGCTCGGTGTGCTTGGTATCCTGCTTGCGCTCCTCATGGTCGTGTGCGTCCCGGTGCCGAAACGTAACGACATGTTCGCAATTACGGCTGCCTTCTTTGCGGTGGGAGGTATCTTCATAGGAGCGAAGCGTGAAAGCGATTGATGAAGAGAAGGAGCGGGCAGATGGTGGGTGAGCTAGGTGCAGGTGCCACCTCATGCAGGGCTCAACACAGCTGACGTAGACGGTGCAAATCAACGCAATGATGCAAGCGCGATTCACTGCTATGAACTATGTCCCAAATGATCAATCCTCTTGTCATCATGGATAGAGTAAGTCGAGAGAAGCGTACACACGGTTGCTGAGCACACCTTGGAACTATACCTAGGTGTCTCCGCATCATCAGCGGCGGTACTTCGGTGGTACTGCCTAGATCACGTTAGCCACACAAGACCATCGCCGAATGTTCCGAACCAACCGTATCGTAGCGCACTTAAGTTTGTCTACCGTTCGTTGCACTATGCAGGGTGGTGGAGAAAGCAATTATATACCCTTTCTCAACATCATCTTCCGAAATGAGCTTGCCTGAGTCACAAGAGACTGGATATATCTACCTAGGCAGTTTAGACATCACTCGCTACGCTACAAAAAGCTACATATCTGCGAAATTCCTTTTGGGTTTTTGGGAAATCAGCAAAACATGGTGTGGGTCCGTGTGTTTTACGACGACGAAACACGAACCTCTCCAACTTCGTGTATGTGACGGTGGGACTGTTTTGAGGCATAGAAGTCAATAACGTACGTCCCGTAAATTTGGCATCTCGAATGGTACAACTAAATTGGTCTTCGCATCTAAAAGATCGCGCGCGTTGGAAGCTGGTGTCGCTTTGCTTTTTTTCTGGCCTCACATCACATGCAAACGTCACTGCGCTAGCATGCAACTAAATATACCCACTGTGTTGGTGTTTTCCTTTTCCTTAGGGGTAAATGGCTCCTTTAAGCGTATACTTAACTCAAAACTTCCATCTCTCTCTCTTCTCCTCTTGCCATCGAACAGCCAAGCGGGTGCTCCAAGACCCCTCCACACCCTTAGCAATATGCAACAATCAATCCCTACGCTATACACAATGTCGCGTACCAAGGTTCCAATTGCTCCACCGAGAGAGCTCCGTAGGTACATCGTTCATCGGTGGGAACTAAGAAGCTGAAGTCTTTCTAGCTCCGGCGAAGTAGCATAGTCAGTGACATGGCATCCTGGACCCACAAGTGCCAAAGCTTCCAAGGGTTCAGACAAGGTACTTAGAGGCTGGTTCTGCATGATAACCTTACTTGCAATAACTAACGTATGCGTGTATTAGTCTCGAAGGAGTATAATTTCGGAATCGCCGCTAGAATGCGTCCCCTGCACGCCTGACCTCTCTACCGCAAAACTAAAAAGCAGATATATCAGAGCAGCAGATTTAGCCGCTGTACGCAGAACGCAACACAAAGGGTATAGAGGTAAGCGTGAACAAGTCCACGATAGTTGAAGAGGTATCACTGTAGGCGCTTCCCGCGACAGATTTGAACAGCATAGTAGAACACTGCAACCTTACAACGTACTTGTATCCTTCTAGTCTATGCTATTATACTCTATTGACAACACTTACTCTCCTTCTATTGGACAGTTGTACGTGCGCTATTTGTGTGAAGTAAGTACATGATGTTCGCACGTTAGTGAAGCATCAAGCTATCGTCAGCCCTTGCCTCGCTGCCATGTCCGAAGACAACCGCGACGAAGCTTCAGGACTCCGCATGTACATAACACTGTGTGGATCAGCGAACTAGGATCTCGTGTCGCACCAGAGAGTAGTTTGGATGAATTCAGCGTGCTTTCTCCAAAGTCTTTTACTTAATAGACACCACCAATCATAGAGACCATAGTAGTTAATTTTTTGAGTCCATGCTATTCCACGATTGTTTCCTGTCAAACACTCTCCTCATACACATCTGCGTCCTCATGTCCACTCCTCCGCAAGAATATCTTCATGCTCTCCAATACCTGCTTCTTCAGATCCGACCTCTTCAGATTCTGCCCCGGAAATCCTCCATAAGTCCTGTCAAACTCGAACGGCTTGATTGCCTTCCAAATCCCATGGATAGCCTTGGGCGTCAGTGGAATCATATTAGGGTACGCCCACATGAACGAGTAGGACGTCGTATCCGGTACGCGGTGCGCGTTGTTGAATCCAGACTATCACGATTGTTAGCCATGTTTACCCCAATAATGTTAAAGAGCGTAGAGAACAGGACTAACAGGTACACTCATAAACGTGTCAGCGATGAAAAGCTTCCGGTCCCACCACAGCACCGAACTGCCCTCGAAGTGCCCACCGCATTGAATCATCTTGGCCTCGCCCCCAATCTCTTCAATCGGAACGACGCCCCCGACAAACCTTCTCACATCATTCTGATCCTCTCGGTTCAACCACGTCTTATCGGCTATGCACATATACACCGGACACCCGAACACACTCGCCCATTCCAAATGCGTCGTGTAGAAATGCGGATGGCTGATCACCATAGCCTTTAGCCCACCTTTTCCCTTGATGAAGTCGATGGTAGCAGGGTTCAAGAAAGCGACGCAGTCCCATAGAATATTGCCACGTGATGTCTGCAGTAAGATGGCTCTTTGACCGATACCAAGTTGCTTGCGGGTCGTGCTAGAATCGGCCAGGCCGGGAGGAAGTTCCGAAGGAGAGAGAGGCGCAGTGGTTATGTAGTGGATACGAGAGTCTTCTTTATCCGTTTCAAAAGTGTTCTTTTGGAGGGCTTGGCAGGCTGAGAGTGAGGTCCAGGATTGTCCTGATGCGGGAACGTACTGGCGCGGGTCCTAGAAATTGATTAGTTTTATTGCTTTCTGTGCTCCGTTTCCTGGCTGTGGTGATTGTTCTTGGTGTTGGTGACGGACATACATCGCAGATCCGACATGTCTCCGGGTGCTGGTCAAGCGGAACGTCGAATTGCGTGCCGCACGTTTCGCAGACGGCTAGGTTACTAGGCTCGAAACTCATTTTGTCGATATTTGAGGTTTATATATCAAGCCACGACTTAGTCGAGGCGGAAAAGGCAAGTAGATGGTCGAAGATGCCGTCATGCTTGCGATGTGTGATGCAGTAGCTTCAAAAGTGGGGTTCGAGAGGGGAAAGAGCAGCTGATGAAAGCTTTCTCAATGACAGCCACTTTTGGGCCTGCAAATGCATCGATTGAGACTTCTTATAACCATACCGCGATATCACAATTGTCAAGTAGGTTCAAGGTCGCGTCAAAGTGTGGGGCTTGCTTGAGCATATTCCCAGGTTTACTCCGGTACTCAAAAGTGGCGAATCAGCAAGCACAATCACAAGCACTGCATCATGCATCTTAGTTGGCGTCGGTACATTTGTCGACTTATTAAATGCGAAATTCAAAGGCATCTGGACATTTAGGATGGTTGATGGAAATATCATTTGCAAAGTAACGATACTGGGATCCCGCGCCTGTAACGCCTACGCATTCTATACGCGCCAAACACTATACATGCCGAGCCTTTGACTCACGTCCTATCGACTTCGAATCAAGTTGCGATTTGGGCACCGCATTCGTGATCCTCGACCATTCGCCGTTGAAAGCGTTGACGAGCCACCACTTGAGCTCTGGAATTCCGTTAGTTGTTTCCTCGTATCAATGGCACACTGATTCACTTACTGTCGTAAACAATGCGGTTCGCGTTGTGGAAGTAAATACTATGATCCGAATCGGGGAACACATGAACGTCGTAGTTTTCGATACCTGCAAGATCCAGTCGGTCAAGTAGGGTAAGCGTGTTTTGCATGTGCACGTTGTCATCGGCGACACCGTGCATGACCAAGAATCGGACGTTCTTCGCTAGGGAAGTGACATCGGTGATGGTGGAGTTGTCGTAGCCTTCGGCATTGTTCTGCGGCGTGTGCATGTAGCGCTCCGTGTAGATGGAATCTGTGGTAAACGATTAGCGAAGCAGATGAGTACCGTGAGTCTTCTTACCATAGTACCGCCAATCAGTCACAGGAGCGACAGCCATCCCATACTTGAACGTCTCTCCTCCATCCTGCTCGAGCGTCTTCAGTGTGTTGAAACCGCCGTAACTCCAGCCCCAGATCGCGAGTCGGTCAGCGTCCACGTACTTCTTGCTGGCCCAGATTTTGGCTGCGGCGATCTGATCGTGCGCCTCGTAGTATCCAATGTTGCCTCTCGTGATGCATCGAAGCTTCCGACCGAGGAAACCCGTACCTCGCCCGTCCACTGTCACCACGATGTACCCGAGACTGGCGGCAATGTACGACTGGAAATCAACCTTGAACTTTTTGTTGACTTCCTGCGAGCCTGGTCCGCTGTATTGGTAGAAAAGAACAGGATACTTCTTCTTCGGGTTAAAGTGCGGCGGACGGCGCTCGAGGACGTTCAGCTCGAAGCCATCAACGTTGATTGTCTGATAGTTCAGAATGGGCATCTCAAGCCGGCGTACGAAGCGGTCAAGCGCTTTGTTTTCCTCAATGACCTTTTCGTACTTGTCATTGTTCGATGGCGTGCTGATGATCTTCTGCCATGGGATTCCGGGACCGTTGTAGGTGATCAAGGCGTAAGAGCCACCAGCTGAGAAGGAAGCGTCGTAGTAGCCTGAGCCTCCATTCTCCAGCATTTCGCTCTTTCCAGTACCGTTCAAGAGTACAGAGTAGACGTGTCGTTCCATGGAGCTCTTCTCAGTTGAAACGTAGTACACCAGGTTGTTCTTCAGGTCGACGCGAGAAGGCGCATCAACGACTTCCCACTCGCCCTGAGTGAGCAACACAGGCTTGTCACTGTCCAATGGTGAAAAGTAGCCGATATGGTCGTAGCCTTCGTGAATGATTGTATCAATGTATCCATCATCCTTGCGGCCGTTGTCAGGATCAGCCGGTACGAACGTCGTCTTCTGTGAGACCTCCATCCAGCCTCCGTCCAGCTCAGCGACGTTCTCGGTTCTGACCGTCTTGCCGGTGCGCTTTTCGACGTCCATCAAGACAAGCTTCAGGATGTCGCTCTCGCGATTGGTTTCGCGAACAAGTACTTGCTTCGTCTTTCCGGCCCAGACGATCTCGGTGATCAGACGGTTCTCGTCACTGAAG